TCACATTGGAGTCAGGCCACCTGCAGAGCTGGAGCCAGCCTCAGCCCTTGCACAGACATGGCCGAATAAAGATCATCATGGCAGCTGCTGCAGAGTTCAACGTGGCTATGGCCCATGTGGGTTTGGGACAGTGGCAGCCGGCACCATGGAAACACACAGGCACATAAAGGGGAATCCTGTTCAGTGCCCTCGACTCGGATCACACTAACCCGGCCAAGACAAACTGGGCAGTCTCTCCCGCTCCACAGCTCTAGTCATCCTTGCCTAGACATGCTGGACCAGGAGCAGCCCTGGCATACAATGAGTGCATCTGCCATTGAACTCACAGGTGCTAGCATCTATTTATTGACTTTGCATGAAGTGATGCCCAATAACTTATGGCAGAATTTAGGATACAAGATACATGGCCTGATTCCCCATCACTCACACCAGTGTCAATCAAGTCAATGGGGCTGATTCCCCATGCATTCACACCAGTGTCAATCAGGAGTCACTCCCATTGGAGTCACTGGGACTGATTACCCTCTCACTCACACCAGTGTCAATCAGGAGTACCTCCCATTGGAGTCACTGGGGCTGATTCCCCTCTCTCTTTCACAGCAGTGTCAATCAGGAGTACTGTGACTGGGGTCCCAGTGGGGAGTCAGCTATGGTCACTCGATTAGGTGAACTGCAAAGAATGGGGCAGACAATCCCCATAAAGCTGGTGGATATTCCAATACTTAGATTTACCAAGCCAGCATAAAACAGCTTCTTTATTACTTTACTGGTTACTCAAAAGTCCAAGCAACACAGTTCCCTTAAAGTGATACAGCCTCAGGCTTCCATCCGGGTACCCACATCAAATATGATAAAAATTTCTGTAAATCTTATTTCATCATATAAAAGAAAAGGTTCTACCAATCCCAAAGGATTGGACACATTACCTCCCAGGTTAATGCCTGTTTCAGATCTTACCCAAATACATGCTACAGCCAATTCTTATTAACTAAACTAAAATTTATTAAAAAACAAAAGAGAGTATGGTTAAAGATCAATATACATACAGACATGAGTTCAATTTATTGAGGTGCAGATTCATAGCAGAGATGGTGAGCTTTGTGGTTGCAAAGAGTTCTTTCAGAAATAGTTCATAGATTATAGTCCAATGTCCAATATCACCTTCAGTGAGTGTCAGCCTAACTGGGACCTCAATCTTGTGACTCAAACTTCCCCTGATGAAGCTTAAGCAGATCTGAGATGACAGAATCAGGATCCAAGGATCTTTTGTACAATTTCATGTCTTTTGACAA